ATCCCAGGCCTCCGCCCCCCCCATGCTGTCCCGGCATTCCATGCTCTTCATCCCATCCCAGGCCTCGGACCGCAGCTCTAGCCGAGCCTCCTCTTACCTCGAGGCCTCCGCCCCGCCAGCCTCCCGGCCGAGACCCACTGTGCACAAGGTAGTGGATGGGAGGGTGGGCGACTCCATCCCCCCCTCCCAGGAAGGGGGTCCAGAGCGCAGCCCGCCCCGCCCCCTCGGGGCCACGTGACCAGGGACTGGACGCGCCGTCACGTGACACCTTGCCCTCTGCCCTCCCGCATGGCATCCTGCTGCTCCGACCCCGCCCCCCAGCCCTTCAGCTGCATCATCCGTCACCCCCAAATCCTGCCCTCCAGCGGTGGGGTGGGGTGGGGTCCCCCCTGCTGGCTGTGACCTCTGGCCCCGCCCTGCAGCTGCTTCACGAGGAGCTGGCCCTGCAGTGGGTGGTGAGCGGCAGCGCCGTGCGCGAGGCCGTCCTGCAGCACGCCTGGTTCTTCTTCCAGCTCATGGTGAGAAGCCCCGGGGACCCCCGCCCCCCGCGACCACCCCTGACGCCCCCCAAGAAACGATCTGGAGGCCAACAGGGCAGGGCCGTGGCCTCCACACACAGAGGAACCCAGCCTTCCAGCCCCGCCCCCAGCAGCCGAGGCCCCGCCCACACGAAACCTTCCCACCAATCACTGCTGAGATCCATAAAGCCCCGCCCACCTATCTGTCACTAGCCACGCCCATAGTTCACAGGCCCTCTGAGCGCTCCATCGCGGAAGCCCCGCCCCTTCCCACACGCCACACCCCCGGCCTCTCGAGGCCACGCCCCCAGCCTGTTTGCTCGGTTCCTCAGGTGAAGAGCATGGCGCTACACCTGCTTCTGGGCCAGCGGCTGGACACACCTCGAAAGCTGCGCTTCCCTGCCCGCTTCCTCGACGACATCGTGGCCCTCGTGGGCTCCGTGGGCCTGGAGATCATCACCCGCGTCCACAAGGTGAGGACTGCAGGATCTCAGTAAGGGAAGTCAGGGAGCCAGCCAACTGGTGTCTCTGTCCCGCCCAATGTCCTCTTATTTATTCCTGAGCACCCCTACACTGCGTGCAGAAACACAGCAGGCAGACCAGGATCAGCACTCACGTAGGGCCGAGTTTTAGGGGAGACTTAGAAGGGGAGAGACCCGTCTGGGGAAAGGAGCCGCAGCAGGGGCAAAGGCCCTGTGGCAAGATAGTGTCTGGGCTGTCAGGAATGGAGCATGGTTAGAATGAAGTCTGTGAGGGGAGAAGAGTTGGGGCAATAAGGAACATTACCGGGCAGACCCATTAGCCCTCGGCACAATTCTAGTATTCAGTGCATAATAAATGTAGGTTGCTCTTCTGAGACCCTGATGATTCTCCAGGACCAGATCACCGATTCGTGTCTCTACAAGTGGTTAAGCAGGCAACAGTAATGCTAATAGCAATTGTATGGAGCATTTATTTATTGAGCATTTACTGTCTACCTAGGTACTTATTTATTTATTTTGGTTGTAGGGCTTGAACTCGGGGCCTGGGCGCTGTCCCTGCGCTCTTTTTTGCTCAAGGTTCAAGCTCTACCATTTTGAGCCACAGTGCCACTTTCAGTTTTCTGGTAGTTAGTTGGAAATAAAAGTCTCATAGATTTTCCTATCAGAGTAGGCTTTGAACCTCTATCTTCAGCTTTCTCATCCTCCTGAGTAGCTAGGATGTCAGGCGTGAACCACCAGTGCCGGGCTTTTCTAGATAAACCCTACTAATAAGTTCTCCCAGGCATCCGTGTACTTAGTATTTTACCAATGGGGAAACTGAGGCAGGCGTAATGCAGAGCCACAGACCAGGAACGGCATAGACTCCTCACCTCCAGCTTTGATTGGGAAAGAAGGGTTTATAGAGACCAGAGATCATGTTCCCACTCAGACAGGGGGTGGCAGCCATTCAGATCCAGACAGCCAGGTCCCTGTGGAATTGTGTCTCTTGAGACCAGATTGTCCCTCCCACCCTCCTTTTTTTTTTTTATTCCTAAGAGAAATGGTGGGAACTTGCCAGGTTTTGAAATGTCATCTGACTCAAGCCAGCCCTTGCATAATGCCACGGACCTCTGGGCTGATCTCAAAGGTCTCGACCTTGTCTTCCTGGAGCTTTCCCAAACACCAACTTTCCCAAAGGAATCTGGCTTCCCGGACTGTGAGAAAACCAAGCTCACAACGCGGCTGCAGGACAGAACAATACTCCTAAAAAGCTGGGTTGTTTTCTCTGTGTGTGCTGGACTTGAGGCTTGAACTCACAGCCTGAGCACTGTCCCAAAGCATTATTATTATTATTATTATTATTGATGGTTCATTGAAGATAGGAGTCTCACAGACTTTTCTACCTGGGCTTAACTTCAAACCTCAATCCTCAGATCAGCTACTCAGTCTCCTGAGTAGCTAGGAGTAATTGGCATGAGCCACTGGTATCTGGCTGAAGCTGGTTCTTAAGTTCCACTAGTGACATTTAACAACCCTTATCAGGCTCCCTGCTCAAGGCAATTGCTGGATTCCCCCCCCCACACACACACACCTCATAGACTCATATTTCAGGCCCATTTTGTTTATTCTTCCTTTGAGATTGCAAGGAATTATGGGCCACTGACACATTATAACTTGTAAGTGTAATTAGAGGGCAGGCAGCCAGCCCTCAGAGATATACAGCCCTCACCTTCCAGGAACATCCTGCCCCAGGGCCATTGCACAGACTGCAGCAGGGGCTCTCAATGCCTTTTTCTCCTTAGCTCTTTCTCATCCGTCAGGAGTCTTTGAAAATAGCACTTTGTGAATGTAGTATTATCTAGAATTATTATTATTTTGTCCATCATGGGGCTTGAACTCTGGATCTGGGCGCTGTCCCTCAGCTCTTTAGCTCAAGGCGAGCACTCTACCACTTGAGCCACAGCGCCACTTCTGGTTTTCTGGTAGTTTCTTGGAGATAAGAGTCTCATGGACTTCCCTGCCCAGGCTGGCTTTGAACCTTGATCCTCAGATATCAGCCTCCTGAGTAGCTAGGAGGAAAGGGGTGAACCAGGAGGGCCGGCCTATGTAGAATTCTTGTTAACTGTCTGAGCCCCACACCCCCACTGTGGGTCAAGCGGGCATCAGAGACTGTCTCCATCTTGTCCACGGGCCCTGATACAAGTAGATACTTGTGAAATGATTGCTGAGGGGTTATCAGGACAGAGATTAATTTGCACGAACGTAATCACAAGTGCTTCAGACAGAACCAAACGTTTATTTCTGAGTATAAGTAGTCTTTTCTTGGGGGGGGGGTGCTATAAGATGTGGTCCTGAAGGCTCACCATGGTGAGGGGTTGCATGCAACCCAAAGCAGAAGACCTGCACCTCCCACGTAAGTGGTCCCCCCAACTCCTGTCCACGTCTCACTGGCCAGAATGGGGTCTCAAGGCTGGACGCAGCTGCAAAGGGATTCTGGGAAATGTAGTACTGCAAGGGATGCTGGGAAGTGTAGTCCGGCCCGCGGTGAGGGGGTCTCAGGAGCTCCAATCTGCCCACGATTGTGTTTTTCAAAATCTGGACGACAGTGGGAAGAAAAGAGCACCCCTAATGAAGCCTGAGGGAGGGAGGGAAGCCAGGGCGGATGAGGGCCAGGAAGTGCCCTGGGCTGTCCACAGGCTCCTCCGCCCCCATGGAGATGTCAAGAAGGACATGGCCCCCAGGGCAGCTGGTGGAGTTTGCAGTGGCCCTTGGTGAGAGCCAGGCCTGGATCCCTTCCTCTGTCCCCAGGATGCGGAGCTGGCCGAGCGCCTCAACGCCAGCCTGGCCTTCTTCCTCAGCGACCTCCTGTCCCTCGCCGACCGCACCTTTGTCTTCAGCCTGGTCCGAAATCACTATAAGCAGGTGGGTGGGCGTGGCCAACGACGTCGGGGTGGCGGGAGGGGCTGGAGGCATTGTGTGGGCGTGGCCAACAGCTTCAGGGGGAAGCAGGGGCTGGAGACTACGTGGGCGTGGCTAGCAAGGTGATGATGGCGTGGGAGGGGCCTGAAGATGCTGGGTGGGCGTGGTTAGTGACTTCACGAGGGTGACTTGGGAAGCTAGGGATGATGGGGGGGCGTGGCAGGCGATGGAGGTGCGGTGGGGCCTGACCTGTGATTGGGGGCCTGTTGCTTGGTGTGGGACATGAAGAGGGCGTGGCGATGACCGAACCGGGCATTTGGAGCCAGGGCAAAGCAGCGCAGCCTCACACCGATTACTGATCACCCCGTCTTGCAGGTGACCACCCGACTGCAGTCAGCCCCCAACCCAGCAGCGCTGCTGACCCTGCGCATGGACTTCACCCGCATCCTGTGCAGCCATGAGCACTATGTGACCCTCAACCTCCCTTGCTGCCCGCTGTCACCCCCGGCCTCCCCCTCGCCCTCCGTCTCCTCCACCACCTCCCAGGTGGGCTGGCCTCCACTTGGGCCTCCTCTTCTGGACCTCAGACCTCTCACCTTCCACCCACCCCTCTCTGGTGGTTCCCTCACTGAAGTCCGTTTCATGGTGCGCCGCTGCCCAGGTGGACTGACCCTTTACCTCTGAACTTTCACTCCTGGCAGTTCTTAGCGGGTTCCTGGGAGGAACAACTTTGAATGTCTGATTCAGGAATAGAATTGCGGCTGGTAGTCCAGCTGCTGGCTCAGTCTTAGGACTTTTGACCCCGTGCCCTGTCACCTCACAGATGGGTTAACCCCAACTTCTCACCTTTAATCCTTAACCTCGCGGTCTCTGCTATTTGCAGATGAGTCAGCCCCAGACTCTGGATATCCTAACTTCAGTCACTTCCAAGATGGCTTTTGGAGAAAACCTCTCACCTCTGACCCCTGACCTCAGACACCGCCTATGTCCCCCTATCTCTGCAGGGCTCCACCTTCTCCAGCCAGGCCCCAGACCCCAAGGTGACCAGCATGTTCGAGCTGAGCAGGCCATTCCGGCAGCAGCACTTTCTGGCAGGACTCCTGCTGACAGAGCTGGCCCTTGCCCTCGAACCCGAGGCCGAGGGGTAAGTGCAGGCTGGTCCCCATTCATGGCCGTTGGGGTGGGTCCCCATGGAGGATGGGTGGTCCTGTCCCCCATCCAATGCCGGTGGGCAGGGCCAGAGGCCTCAGCAGGCCCGCGCTGAGCCCCCCATCCTTCCGCAGGGCCTCCGTGTTGCACAAGAAGGCGATCGGTGCGGTGCACAGCCTGCTGTGCAGCCACGACACCGACCCCCGCTTCGCGGAGCCCGCCGTGAAGGCACGCGTGGCCGAACTCTACCTGCCCTTGCTGTCGCTCGCCCGGGACACGCTGCCGCGACTGCACGACTTTGCGGGTCAGGGGGCCAGGAGGATGGGGGGCTCGCGAGCCGGGAGGGCTGGGGCCTGTGAGCACGGGGTAGGGGTGAGGGGGCAGAGGTAAAGGCCGGCAGAGCGAGTTCCAGTTCTTCCACGGGAGCCCTGGTCAAGCCAGAGACCTGAGCGTCAGATTACCCACTGGTAAACTGGGAGCACTGGAGGCCACGCCCACCGTTCATCCGGACACGCCCACTGGTGATGTGGCCACGCCCACAGATGCCATGCTCATTTATCAGTCCTCCCCACCTGACCATGTCCACACCCATCAGCCACACCCTCCCCGCATCACCAAGCTCTTAGCGTTCCTGGCCACGCCCACATCCATCAGCCACGCCTCCCCACAGCACCACGCCCACATCCATCAGCCACGCCTCCCCACAGCACCACGCCCACACCCATCAGCCACGCCTCCCCACAGCACCACGCCCACATCCATCAGCCACGCCTCCCCACAGCACCAC